CAGCTTTGGATTTGGACACTGTCAGCCTCGGGCGAAGGGCAGGTGTCTCGCTGGCTGGCCCAGGAAGACAGGAGATGGTCTCCCCTTCCCTACCTCACCATCCATCAGTAGCCTCTGAACCAGGCATGGATGAGTCCCACGGATGCCTTGGCCCTGGGATGCAAAAGCTGGTGCTGCTGGAGGAGGTGGATGGCCAGCAAGGAGAAGACTCAGCCCCTGCAGGCTTGACAGCCAGTGGTCCCTCCACAGCTTCTGTCACCAGCCCCAAGCCTGGTGTGGGGCTTCCTTGGCCTGAGGACCATGTGAGCAGTGGCTCAGGGGTGTCACCATCTTCCCTGCCTGGCACCTGGGGGGTGAGACGAGAGGAGCACATGGTGCCTGTGCAGCATCAGGACACAGCTGCTAGTGACAGACTGGCTTCTGCCTCCATCCTCAGGGGATTTAAAATGCAGAAACCCAAAGAAGCTCTCCCAGCAGGTGCAGAAGAGCAGAGAAATGCCTCCTTCAGTGCCACTCCTTCACACCCTGGTCCTCATGTGGCCCAGCAGGGAGAAACAGTGTTGAAAGGCCAAAAGTCTCAGGAGCCCTCTGATGAGAACAGAAACACCTGGATGCCAGGAGGACAGCAACAGAAACATGCTGGTAGGTCTCCCAGTACTTCATATCTCGCTGTAAGCTATCTTAGAAGGTAGAAGTATTTGGTGGGGGCAAGGATGAGGCTGTGTCTATCACCTGCAGTTCCAGCCTGGCAAGAGTAATCCAGCTGTCTGGGGAAGGTAAGACTTCCAACAAAGTACTCTTGTTGGCCACACCTCTGTTGGAAGTAAAAACATGTAATTCATGCTGGATGGGCTGCAAAGGGTCAGACCCCTGCAGAGCATCTGGGGCCCAGGCTCAGTTCTGATAGCAGAGCTGAGATGTGGCTCTGGGGGCTGAAACTGTAGAAATCTTGCAGCAGGAGAGGGTTTTAAATGGGGCCTCTTCTGTGGCAATTTGCAGCTTTCCTAGAAGCGATATCTGTGTCCTCATCCATACAATAACCATTGACTATGTGTTTCCTTTCTGATGTGTCAGAGCTAGGACTGCCCTGGACAATGGAATACTTCCCCATCAGGAGCTGCCACACTGTCTTTCAGGATGGGTCTGGGACATTTTACCTGCCGCTGCATGCTGACATTAAAACCAACATCTGGTGCAACTGGACTATATTGGCAGGCTCCCAGAAGCACATTGTCGTCTACATTGAGGGGTTCCAGGGGAGCGATGGCTGTGGCAAGAACCAGGACAAGATAATCTTCCAAGGGGTCTTGTCAAGCATAGAAACCAAAGTGGTGTATGCCTGTCACAACCGAGGTACTCTCATCTTTGCTACGCAAGCTACTGCAGTCCACATATCATTTCTATCAGGGAGTGGTTCCCTAAGTCATGAATATAGACATTTTAAAGGACGGTATTATGTATTCAGAGACTCTGAAACTGTGGGCTCTTCAAATGATATCATAGCTCCCCAAGAGCCTGTCCAGGAGGTCTCCAAAAAAGAGAGCTGGAGGATGGTGGTAACAAAAGGTTTATTGCCCATGCTGAGAGCCTCTCCAGGCCCATCAGGTGCACCTGCTGGTGACAGGATCCAGCCTGAGCTTGTGAGCCCAGATGAAGAGGCTCAAAACCCTCCTGATCTTGTGGAAGATGCTCAGTCTGGTACTAACCTAAGCAAGCTTGACCTGAACGAGTGTGGTCAGCTGCAGGATGGAACAGAGCTGGAAAGGAGCCTTAAGGATGGTGGCACTGAGGGCAGAGAAACCAAAGATGGCCTGTTGGTGGAGCTGTCTCCAGCTGGGCAAGATGCTGGGCATAAAGCTGAGCTGTCTGCTTTGGAGACTGCAAAGGGGGACGTAGAGCTGGTGTCTGCTCTGGTCACCATAGCTCCATGTCGCTCAGCAGGTGTCCCTTCCTCAGAGATGCCCAGCAGCAACATAGGTCTCTCTGCCAAATCATCTAGCCTGGATCAGGCCAGCTTGTCAGAAGAAGTGGTCACTGCTGCACATCACATGCAGACAGCAGTGCTGGAAGAGCCACTGCTAAACATGAGTACAAAACCTTTTCCTCTCTACTCCTCTCCTGGTGTGACTGCTGGAGATGTGGTGCCTCCAGGTGAAAGGAATGAAGAGCCCTTTGGTAAGGTGTTTTTTGAGTTATTTGTGGCTGAACTGATGCCCAACACTGTGCAATATCCACTTCCAGTGATGCAGCAATCTTGAGAGCTTTTATTTGTAGGCATGGCTGTCACATTCAGTTGGTCCATGTGGTAGCACTCGACTTCTGTATCCAAGGAGGGTGGTTCTTGAGAAGACATAGGATTATCTGTTATAACATGGGCATCTATGGGCTGATGCTCCTCTTAACAGGGCGAGGCTGGTTCCTAATCCAAGTGCTCTGAACTGTACATGGAGGAGCCAGCCTTTATACCCAAAGCAGACTGTGAATGCCCATCTTGGTGTTAAACAGCTCTGGCTTGTGCTGATTCCCATGGCTGTAGCCTGGCATGATGCTCCTAGCCATGATAACTGAGTTTGAGCTCCAGAAGTTAGAGGGAAAGGGTGGGGGGAAAGGCTCTTGTCTCCTAAGAAAGTTTAGGAGCTGATGGTAGACTTCTTTTACAGAAAGATTTAGCCACTGATATGTATTAATTTCTGCCTGAAGGTGGAAGAGAAGACATTTTCAGTTGGTCTTTCCTCCCCTCCAAACTGTTCTTGCCCTCTCATTGTAGATGTGGGAAAGCTCTTTTGCAGTTGCTGCATCTAATACACAAGGCCAAAGCTTCTTTTCTTCATTAGGGGTCCAAGGCAGCTTTGTTGGTTGCAGGAGCTCTGGTGGCTTCACAGAGATAACACTTCAGCCACTTTCAAAAAAGGAAATGAGGTTTATTGGGGTGATTTCTTTCTAAAGAGCATTTCCCACTGTAAAGAAGAGTAGACTGTATTTAGAGCTCAATATTTAACTTCAGTACAAGGAATATAGAAAGGAGCTGGCGCATGGCATTCTTCTTGCAAGGTGACACATACCTAATATACTTTTCCCCCTGGTATGCTGCAGTTAGCAGCCTGACTCTTTTTCCCTGCTCTGACAGATCTGTTTTCTGCCCTGGCATCTCTGGAGAATGACACAGAACTGCAATCCCAGCACCATCCCGGAGGTGAGTGATGCAAAGAGTTAAGCATGTCTTAAAACACTGCCCTAAGTTTAGTGTGTTGATTGGAGTTGTGCATGTACATCATCTGCTCATTAAGTTTAGAAAGCAGTGGAGGGTGCTTTTGATTAGTAACCAGTTTGAAGATTTTAATTTTTAAGATACCACTGCAATCCCACAGTTGTCCTTTGGCCACTTTGTACTTACCCTGGAGAAACCTCAGTTCAGATGCTAAACCTGACATAAGTGCTGGCTTGTTTGAGCTCTAGCATTACTTGCTCGTTGTTTAAAGAAGACTTTTCTAAGGTGGATGGGGGTGAATGAGCCTCACTTCCTCAAATATACTCCAGTGGATGCCTCATGACTACCTGGATCAGAAACTTGCAGGAGTCCTGCTCCTCAGACCAGGGAGAGGAGTAAAACCTGCTTATGGGAGTATTAGCATCTAAGCAGCACAATACTGGGCTTATATGGCAGAGCGAGCCACAGAAACAGCTTGTAAAAAAGAGTCAATACAGAAGGAGCCTGAGCTTTGAACAGGAGAAATATTGCTGAATAAATAGGCTTTAAACAGCAGACTGGCAAATCTGTGTCAGGCTGAATTCAGCCAGAATGCAGCAGTTTATCTAAGCTGATCCCAAACACAGATGTGAGAGAAGTGGGCTTTTAGACTCCATCACAAATTGTGATGATACCCTTGGGAAAGATAATAGCTAAAGAAATGAGTATGATCAGATACACATTAATGCTTTGTATACTTTTTGCTGAAAGATCAATTCCTGTATTCGGCACCGAGCATTAGCTAAGGTTTGTTTTCAACTGTTACTCAACAACTTGTTCTACCTGATGCACAACCTCTGGAAATATCCACATGGCACTGACTTACACAAGCATGTCTTCATGTAGCTGTTCTACTGTTGTTGATGTTTAAGGACTAACTTATTTAAGAAGCCTGTTTGTGTTATGTGGACTTAAACATGCTAGGATCTTATGTCTTTTGGTAGATATGCTCTTTGAAGTGGCTATTGAAATAAAGCCCAAGGACTGGATTCCTCATGGTCAGCATGAGCTCAAAAAGGATCTTGAATCTATGAAGAACCATGTAAGTCTGGGCACAGGGAGGGGGAGAAAAAACAAATGTGATGTCCCAAATCTTCAACTAGAAGAGACCACGTTGTGCCCTTCATTCCAGGGATTTTCTGTTAAAGCCACATGATGAACAAGCATCTGAGTTGCTTGTGCTGGTTGTCATCTGAGCCCAATGCTGATGCCCTGGCAGGGTGCCTGACTGCAGTGGCTGGTGTTTAGCTGCTGCAGCCCTTCAGAGCGCTGCGCCATCACAAGGCAGTAGAAAAGCACAGCAGACAGGGTACAACCAACTGAGGGCTGTAACTTGCCCCTGGAAATCAGGCAGGCCAGAGCCTGAAGAGAGCAAGCATGTGAGCATCTGCTTTCAGGGCTGCACCTAAACTTCCTTTCTGGGATGCAAACCTAGAAAGCCACCATCCATCCACTGCTGCTCTGCAATGGTTTAGCACCCAAACACTTACCTTGGGCTATTATTGCTCTTTCTCTTCCCAAATTACCATGTGTGTTTGGGGGAGTTGAGCTGAAGCTAAGAAGATGGGAACAATTAGTAATCTCCTAGAGAAAAGGCCCAGGGCACTGGGCTATGGGACATATAATGTGTCCTGAGTGATTTGTGAAGGAGAAGAGCAAGGTGGGGAGGTAGACTGAGAAAAGAAACTGTTTGCTGCCATACTCCTGCCCATCAAACATCAAACCAGCACTGGTCACTCTGTTCATTTGCAGATCCAGGAGAACCTGAAACTTTCTGCCAATAGAGTCAATGAAATAAAGTTAAAGGAAATCAAAAGGTAGGGTTACCACTGTGCTGCTAGCTTGGCAGGCAACTCTGCTATAACCTGAAACACTTCTTGGCTAGCAGTGGCTTGGGTTCTCATTCTCCTTCCCCAGGCAGAGACCCAGCCTTGCTCCTCTCTAGTGACCTGTAATTTGTCCTGAAAGTGTGTGTGTGTGTGAATCTGTTTTCTAGAGGGAAAAATGATGAAAATGGATATTTAGTGCTGGCTGGGGCTTTTATAGGTCTAAGATGGATTTAAACTCTGGAGAAAATGGGGATTGCTAAATGTGCTGTGATGTCTGTTGGAGAAAGCTGGGGGCTGTCAGCAAGGTCCCTGCCATACTTGGTCAAGGCTGACCTGGGGCTGTGCATTGCTGCTACAATTTGCTTTATGTGAATAGCTAGTCACTTCAGCCTAGCTCCAAGTGACGAGCCATTACTGGGCTTTCCTTTTTCCCTTGGTCCAAGTGCAAAGCTGTTCCTTGTCACAAATAATTTTTGCAAGAGCCTGCAGCATCACCATCTAATATGAGTGTGTGGGAGGTCTAAATGAGCCTTCAGAGCTGGGCCTGGTGGTGATGCTTCCCTTCTCCCTCACCCTGGGTTCTCCCCTGCCTGCAGGACGAGCAGTGCCAACCTGCTGCTCGCCTTCTGGCTGCACTTGAAGCTGGAAGAGAGAAATGTGTCTCTGCTCCTGCGCTCCCAGCTGGAGGAGCTGCTTGGCACCTTGGTAGGAGCGGAGAAACTGAAGCTTGTTTCACTGTTCGTTGAAGGTGGGTGTTTCACTTTTCTCTGGGATAAACCCTTTTATGTCAAGCCTGACTTGACTTACGGCATCTATTCCCCCATTACAGATGTGAATGAGTGCACCGCTGGGGTCGGCCTCTGTGGGGAGGAGGCGGAGTGCTTCAATGGCGTGGGCACGTACCTGTGCCGCTGCAAAAAGGACTACGAAGATCATTCTCCCACCAAGTCTGGCACCCTCTGCATCCATGCTCCCCAATCAGGTAGAGGACAAAGTAGTGGCTCTGCTTTCTCCTGCAGCTGGGTGTTTTTCTTGTGTGTGTGAGTCATTTGTGCAGCATCACTCTTGCCACGTGTAATGTGGTGTGAGCACTTCAGGGTAAGGGGCTCTCTCATTGACTGGGGTCCTAGCAGCTGTACCTCTGCTAACATGCATTGCATGTGATGCTTAAAAATGGCACCGCTACCAGTGCAGTGGCTTTGCAAAAATGGCACCGCTACCAGTGCAGTGGCTTTGCAAAAATGGCACCGCTACCAGTGCAGTGGCTTTGCAAAAATGGCACCGCTACCAGTGCAGTGGCTTTGCAAAAATGGCACCACTACCAGTGCAGTGGCTTTGCATGTCTGGGCCTGGTGTGGGAAGGATATGTAATATCTCTGCAAGGCAATTCCCACCTGGGTTGCACCCTTAGGCTTCCTCCTTTGGCTTTAGGAGCTTTTCTTTGGGAGTTGTATTCAGATATGAGTGGGCTGAAGGCACATGTGATACTTTCAGAAACTGAGGGGAGGGAGGAAGAGTGAGGTTTAGGCAGCACTGGTGTTTAAGTTAGGAGGGAAGTCTATACTCAAAGGAGAAATGGCCTTTCCTGGACTCCAAAGGCATCAGCTTTCAGAGATTAGCCTAGATAGGCATCTAAGGGGTGACCTGCATCAGTTAACTGTGTCAGGTTAAAGTATTGTTGCCTGTTGGGTGTAATTCATTCTGACATCTGTGCTCCAAAAGGCTCTTCTGAGTGGTGCCTGAAAGTCTTAGGGAGAGCTGCTACTTCTGGGCTCCTCAATACAAGAGAGACATGGATGTACTGAGAGAGTCCAATGAAGGGCCACAAGGATGAGGAAGGGACTGGAGTATCTCTCCTATGAGGAAAGGCTGAGAGAGCTGGGACTGCTTAGCCTGGAGAAGAGAAGTCTCGGGGGATCTTACCTATATATATAAATACCTGAAGAGAGGGTAGAAAGAAGACAAAGCCAGGCTCTTCTCACTAGTACCCATTGACAGGACCAGAGGCAGTGGGCACAAAGTGAAACACAGGTGGTTCCCTCTGAACATCAGGCAAAGCTTTTTTTTTGAACATCAGGAAACACTTCTTGTTACTGTGAAGGTGACTGAGCACCAGCACAGGTTGCCCAGGGAGGTTGTGGAGTCTCCATCCTTGGAGATGTTCAAAAACTGTCTAGACATGGTCCTGGGCCACTGGCTCTAGATGGCCCTGCTTGAGCAGTTGGGTTGGACAAGATGACCTTCAAGAGGTCCCTTCCCAC